GAAGAATACTTACGTTTAGGGCACATGCAACCTGTAAGACCAGATGACAATAAAAAAGAAATAGCTGTGTATTTACCACATCACGCCGTCGTAAGAGAAGACAAAACCACTACTAAGGTTCGAGTTGTGTTCAATGCATCTCAGAAGAACAATAAAGGAGTTTCCTTAAATGATACTTTGATGGTTGGACCGACACTACAAGCGGACTTGAGGCACACAATTATGAGATGGAGAACTCACTCTATTGGACTGGTGGCAGATATAATTAAGATGTATCGCCAAATTAGGGTAGCTGATGAGGATGCTATGTTTCAAAGAATACTCTGGCGGAGCAGTCCTAACGAGTCGATCAAAGACTATGAACTCCTAACAGTTACTTTTGGAACGGCGTCGGCACCTTACCTGGCGGTTAGAACTCTCCATCAAATTGCTTACGACGAAGGCGACGAATATCCTCTCGTGACTGAAAAGGTACTAAGATGCTACTATATGGACGATTTAATGACCGGATGCGATGACGTCATTACCGGCATCAAAATCTACAAGCAAATGAAAGAACTTTTAGCCAAAGGAGGTTTTGAACTTCAAAAGTGGAATACTAACAATAAAGAGTTATTAGATCAAATTAATACAATAGAGCATAAAGTAGAGAACAACGAAAAAAATGAGAGTAAAGCTAAAGATAGAGATCAAAAGGAATTAGAAATGAAATTAGATAATACTATGAAGATCTTGGGACTTACCTGGGATCGTAATGATGACTCCTTCCGGTACACCGTTCATCTCCCGCCGCTTCAGAATACACCTGCAACAAAAAGAACTGTAATCTCTGATATAGCTAGATTATTCGACCCATTGGGTTGGCTAGCGCCCACAATAGTTGTAGCCAAAATCTTTATACAGAAATTATGGCTCGCGGGTCTCGGTTGGGATGAACTACTTACTGAACAATTAACGGAAGAATGGCGTACTTATCGGGAACAGCTAACATTACTTACCGAAGTTAATATACCTCGTTGGCTGGGGAAAACCATAGAAACCGACGCAGAGCTCCATGGATTTTGTGACGCGTCAAAGGTAGCATATTCCGCTGTAGTATACATGCGACTAACTAAAAACGTAGGAGAGGTCAAAGTGTCATGGGTGGTTGCAAAGACTCGCGTGGCACCAATAAAACAAGTTAGCATTCCTCGCTTAGAGCTGTGTGGGGCAGTTCTCCTGTCACAACTATTGATGGAAACTGCTGAGGTGTTGAATGTACCCAAAGATAAGATTAAAGCGTGGACAGACTCTACTGTGGTGTTAGCTTGGATCAACAGTCACCCCAGTAAATGGAAAACCTTTGTCGCCAATAGGACATCCGAAATCTTAACCACAATGACAGCTTCGCAGTGGTTCCACGTGTCGACTAAAGATAATCCAGCGGATGTTGCCTCTCGAGGGTTGTCGCCAAGTTTGTTCAGGCAAAATACAATGTGGTTTTCAGGACCACAGTTTCTGAAAGAAACGGAAATTAGTTATTTTAGACCAAAAGAGTTAGAGATCAATTTAGAACAGTCGATTAAAACTCATGTAGGAGTTATTATATCAAATGATTTTGACTTACTTGAGAGATTTTCTTCATTGTCAAAGTTATTAAAGGTTGTTGCATATTGTCGTCGATTCCTAAACAGAGATGCTAGAAGCAAACTTTACCTGCAAAAGAAAGAGATACATGAAGCATTAGAATGTTGTATAAAGATAGTACAAAAGAAAGAGTTTTCCATAGAGTACAAACAATTATATGATAAATCAGACTTACCTTTGAAAAATAGTACACTCAAATCCTTATGTCCTTACCTTGATGATAAAGGCATTATGAAAGCTCAGGGACGAATAGATAAGGCTCCACTAGATGAACTAATAAAGCACCCCATAATCTTGCCCAAGAAGTCACACTTTACCCTACTCATAATTGCGGACGCTCATAGTAAAACTCTACATGGAGGTCCACAATTAATGATTAATTATTTGCGAACCGCTTATTGGATCATTGGTGTAAGAGAACTGGTGAAGCTATACGTTCGCAAGTGCATCATTTGTGCGAAACAAAGAGCCACTATTCGCAATCAAATGATGGGGTCGCTTCCATCGATTCGATGCTCCCCTGCAAGGCCGTTCCTGCACAGCGGTGTTGATTACGCAGGTCCAATAAACATTAGAACCACTAAAGGTAGGGGACACAAATCTTATAAAGGCTACATATGTTTGTTTGTGTGTATGACTACACGCGCTCTTCATCTCGAAGTAGTCAGTGACATGACAACACAGGCATTCTTAGCTGCCTTTAAACGATTTGTGTCTCGACGAGGCCACTGTTCAAAGTTGTGGAGCGACAATGGTACCACTTTTGTTGGTGCTTCTAGGGAACTTCAGCAAATTTTAACTTTGCAGTCATGCATAGCAGAAAATTTAGAAGCAAATGGCACTGAATGGCACTTCATTCCCCCCCATGCACCCAATTTTGGCGGTCTATGGGAAGCGGGGGTGAAGTCCACAAAATACCATATTAAGCGCGTAATAGGCGAGTCTACTCTCACATATGAAGAGCTCACTACATTCCTTACTCAGGTCGAGGCTTGCTTGAATTCACGACCTATTAGTGTTATTCATTTAGACGATCCAGGAGAATCTATGCCTTTGACTCCGGGACATTTTTTAATCGGAGAACCGCTTGTTTCTGTACCGGATTACAATTACGAGAATGTCTCAGTAGGTTCTCTAACAAGGTGGCAATTCGTGCAGCGAATGCTGCAATCCTTTTGGAAGCGATGGTCCAATGAATACCTTACGAATCTAATGAACAGATATAAATGGTCTTTCATTGTTCCTGAACCAAACATTGGAGACGTCGTTCTAATTAAGGAGGACGATCTACCTCCAAGTCGTTGGATGTTAGGACGTGTAGTCGACAAACATCCAGGGGATGATAAAGTCACTCGGGTTGTCACATTAAAAACCAAAACAAGCATTATTAAGAGGCCAACTAACAAACTGTGTATTTTGCCAGTAGCAGATAAATAGTATTTTAATAACGACATGATTTGTATCATCTCAACTTGTTATGCGTGATAAACATTTTTGTTTAGTTGTAAGGCTTATTTTATATAGTTTTGTTGAATGTTATTCTCACTTTGTCTACAAGTTCTATTTATGTTTAGATACTATTAAGTTTCCAAGGTTTATTTAATGTTAAGAAAAAGTTGTAATTTTACCAGTTAATGAATTGTCTTTTTGTTAAACCTGTGCAAAATGTTACTATGCAAAAATGTAATTTCATATTTTTTAGTTATATTTAGTTTAAGGACAAATGTTAAGAAGGACATTCCGCCACTAAATGTCCTTGGTGGGCGGTATGTTCAAGACCAAACTTATTGTTAAAGTCAAAATAAATATTATTATTCAAAAGTTGTCTCATGGCTCGATAGATGGCGTTGCCGCAATTAAAATCGAGCTATGGTTTCGTTACCAATGAAACTATAAGGTAAAATGGATTTGTAAGACCAAGTAGTTCAAAGTTCAAGTACAAATATATATACCAGCATAGAACAGTACACAGTGGTGGTTTTATTTATATTCACCCCATCTTGTGTGCTAGTAGGTCAGCAGATCACCTAGTAGCTTAGCTAGGAAACATACTTGTTTTTTATAATTGTGTTATAGTTGTTATATTATGAACCTGCTATGTCACAATTACCTATCATCATCGAATAACATCATCTGAAATGCTTAGGAATTTACAACATTTTAACAGGTAACAGGACAGGACAAGGATAGAAATTGTCTTGGGAGTGGAAGTGATCAGTGTTATTGAGGGGATGGAAATGACTATTACCTGCTATTCTTACTATAACAAATGCCTTAATAACAAAAAAATATTCTTCCTTCAACGTGTTTTATTTGAAAATGCAATATTTTATACATTTTCTATATTATGAGGATATTAAAATGATTTAATACGGTATGTATTAAATAATTTTTAAAACTATATTATTACCAGTTCCTAAATACCTAGTTTCGGAATGATATAGTCTATACATAGAATTCTCATACATTTCCGGTAACACACACCAAGAAATTTTAGTAAAATATGAGGATATTTATTCTATATTATTAATAATAATGTCTTTTATTTCTAAAGCCGACCTAAATTAGGCCCCATTTAAGCTATAACTGCGCATGTGTGTTTTTGGCTTCATAAATTTTAGGTAATGTTGGGTCTGCTATCTATTTTAAGTCTGTGACAGTCACAGAATAGACACTCAAGCTTACAATAATTATGCAATTACAGTAGTCAAACTAGTCAAAGGACATAATAAGTCCTTATGACATAATATGACATATGTCATGTAATATTATTGTATGTCGTGGAGTGTCGTGATGCCGTTACCACATAAGTTAATCGATTTCTCCCATCCTGGGTGTCTGGGTGAGGCAATGACGAGAGGCAGACGTTGATATTTCAACGTTTTTGATTAACGATATATAATTTATTTATTTTAGAAAATATACATATACAACACCACAGCTTACGCCATTAAATTATACTGTTAATCTTATAAATGACACAACATCTCGTTTTGAACAGCAGTCCAGAGTCCATACTTTCAGAGCTCGGAGGAACGAACCAACACAGTCTGTAGAGGGTGGCTAAAGGATTCGGCATCCAACTTGAAAAAGTTGAAAATGTCAATGTCAGATTGAAAAAGTCTTTACCATAGATTCACATCAACTTCAAAATAATGAGAAGTTTAAAAGATATTCAAATTGAAATGATAATCGCATTGATTATTTGGTTGTAACAGATTTTCTGTTCTTACTTAAGTTATTTCCTTTTTTAAATTATAAATCCTGAAAACGATCATGTTTGTGAGAAGTTTTTCATTCTAATAACAGGTTACCGCAAATGTCATTAAAATAGCAAACAAAATATTTGCAGAACCTATTTTACATTACATAAAATGCGCGGCGTGATATCGTCGTATTTTCTTAAAACTTTTATCGCTTGCAGTCAGTGTAAGAAATATAATTTATATAATCGTAGTAGTCATTATTCTTCAAAGGTATGTTAGGATTTACTATAATCAGTATAGGTTTTAACCTATCAAACAGTAGTAGTACAGAGTTTAGTTCACATTCAACATAAGTCTGTTGACCATTAGGCTGCAGATGATGGCGATGTGGAGTGGCCACGGCGGGTGGTAACGGGGATACAGCCCACGGGAGAATTGCACATCGGCAACTACTTCGGCGCGATCCGGCGCTGCGTGCGCCTGCAGGAGCAAGGGGACGACCTCATGATTTTCATAGCAGACCTGCACTCGCTTACTACACGCCAGGTTACCATTTTGTCTCAGATACAGGATGTCCGGTAGATAGTGCATTATACTGTGAGGACTGATAGCCGGGATTAACTCGTCGAGTACCGGTTTTATAGACACAATTAAAGAACAATAGGTCGCGGTCACCGGTGACCGCTTGGTGTTTGACAGTTTAATACAACTCAATAAGTGTTCAGCAAAATAATATGGTTTGAAAATTGCACCACATTTACGAAAATACTGAAAAATTACTAACTTGACACACATCTCTTAGCATATTTCTGCGAAAAAAGCAAATAACGCACATTATTTTATCTGATTTGCACCTACACGTTGATTGATAGAAACACTCTGACTCTCTTATTAAAATAGTTTGTACGGGGAATGCATTCTCTTATTAAAATTGTTTGTACGGGGAATGCATGAAATGGACGGTGTCCATCTATATTTCTAATGCATGTTAATCTGTCACAATGTAGTATTTAATATAATTATGTAAGTCACATATTCAAGAAAATGGGCCTCTTTTCAACGAAACCAGCTTTTTTTCATGGTTTTGTAAAAAAAATACACTATTTTTATACGTTTTTAAAATCACCATTTCACAAGGTAGTTTATACTTATTGTACAAAACAGCCAATTACATTTTTCTGTGGGCGTTACCCAGGCCAGATGTTGTCGAAAATTCTTTCGATTTTAGTGTTTCATTCGACTAGATGTTTTTCTTGCACTGGGCACTGGGGTATTGGTGTGGGCCTGTGACCAGGAGCCGGCGCGGCTGCAGGAGCGCGTGCTGGAGCTGGCGGCGTGCGTGCTGGCGGCGGGCGCGGACCCGGCGCGCTGCGTGCTGTTCGTGCAGTCGGCCGTGCCGCGCCACGCCGAGCTGTGCTGGCTGCTCACGTGCCTGGCCACGCACGCGCGCCTGGCGCACCTGCCGCAGTACAAGGAGAAGGCGGCCGCCATGAAGGAGGTGCCGCTGGGCCTGCTGCTGTACCCCGTGCTGCAGGCGGCCGACGTGCTGCTGTACGGCGGCACGCACGTCCCGGTGGGCGCCGACCAGCTGCAGCACCTGCAGGTGGCGGCCGCGCTGGCGCGGACGTTCGCGCACCGCTACGGCCGCGCCTTCCCCGCGCCGCGCGCGCTTCTCGCCGGTAACTGTCGCTGCCTAGCGCCTCTACTCTACCGCCTCTACGAGCTGACGAGTTCACGTCCGTTTGTGTCCAGATGACGGCAGCGATCGCTTGCGGAGTCTCAGAAACCCGAATAAGAAGATGTCCAAGTCCGACACGGATCCCAAGTCGCGCATTCTTCTGACCGACCCTGATGATATTATCGAGCTTAAAATAAGAAAAGCAGTGACTGACTTCACACCGCAGGTACGTAATCTTCATATGCGCGAAAGACAGTCGGGATCACGTTTTGGGGCACAGTGTGGTGGTGTAGTTTAGAAACCGTGATACTACTCGGGGGCATGTCACAGACGTCATAAATGTTCAATGTAAGAAAAGGCCAATAGTTCAAAATACAGGTATAATAAATGGTTTAAGTTTGACAGTATTTCAGAATAAGCGACAGCAATGGTAGTAAAATAAGCAGATTCGCCCAATTTAATTTAAAATTTTTCTTTCCTATTCATGACTTCATATTCCGCGTAGATACCTTCAGTAGTTATCAGCCGATTCATAATATTACGTGCATATTCTGCTGTACGGAATGTACATACAAGTAAATAAGTTACATATCTACCTGTCACTCGGAGATTTCGCAATTTTACCTATGCAGGGTAGCACAGTTATGCACTACGTCACTGATTGGACTACGCTACACCACTACACTTGTGTTTCAAGCACTGATCACTTGCAGTATCTGGGTAACAGCTAGCACGCTCGACTTTCCATGTCATGCCTGTATTGGGAGTTTAGGTGCGATGCGAATAGCTCGATACAGAAAAATTAAAAATAATTACCTACATTTTTTTTATTGATATGGACTCAGAATCGATTGCAGTCAATTGTTTTTTTCCGAAACTACATCTTGTATTTGGCACTTCGATACCAGACTTCTGACCGTAGTAGTCAAAATACTAAAGGCTGGCGCTCTGCCGGCACGGTACGGCATGGCATGTCAAAAGAAAATTTTTATCATGAAATCAGTTATTAACCTATACAGGATGTTTGGCGCATGGACCGACACCATTTTTTCAGCGATGTGGGAGGTCATTAGCTTTCTTATAACCAGTGGCGGTTAGTGGGTTATAGAACTGGTGGTGCGCTTTACTAAAATATTAAAATTAGAAAGTGCAACAAAACAAAAATTTACATAACATAATATGTTTATATCAATGCGACGACATTTTTCTGAAGCGAAATGTTCTAACCTTTTTATTACAATCGGATATTTTTGTATGAATTTATTTTCAATACAACAATAATTAGCGCGTCACACATACATTGAAACTGTACTGATAGTATAACGAAATGTCAGTGATGGGTGATGGCTGCCATAGCCTTGCGCCCGTGTCGGTCAGCCAATTCGTCAAACATCGGGTGCTCTCGGCAACCCTCGGCTCGCTCGTGCGTGGGTACTTAATATTTTGTAATTTTTAAATCCTAAATAATTTGGTGGTTCAGCGCACGAGCGCACTTAAGGTACAGCCGTTACTGCTTATAACCATCAATTGTTTGTGCCAAATGAGTGTGCGTTACTCAGGCCAGATGTTGTCGAAAATAGACTTTTGAATCTTATAGATAACTAGCGGACCGAACAGACGTCCTGCATATCCACTTGAATGTATAAACAAATATTCATTCTAATTAGTTCAGCCGTTTAGGATAACTAACCTAGAAACCGACTGCAGCACCATCTGCCGGGCTGATTTTTGAATCTAAACCATTCCCAGATCCCCTTGAACACACACAAAAAATTTCATCAAAATCGGTCCAGTCGTTTGAGAGAAGTTCAGTGACATACACTCACAGAAGAATTATATATATAAAGATATAAATAAAGATTAGTTGTGCGGCTTCTGTAGGTAATTGTTGAGCACATTTTCATGTTTGTTCCGCTTATAGTTTTTTAATTATTTCACAAAAACATTTCCTGCTGGGGTAACGTTACCCCAGCTAGACGTTTTTCTTTCTAATAGGAATATTTAATTAATTAGTAGCTATAGAATTAGTTGTCTAGATGAAGTAAATGTTGTGCCTTATTTCGTATTTGTTCTTTAATCGGTTGCGAAGTTATTTGAGATTTTGCTGGGGTAACGTTTTTGATTTTGCTAGATTTTTGAAATGGTTAAGCGGATTCTTATCATATATTGTACATGGCTTCTTAGGAATTAGATTAAACTTGTTCTGCAATGAAAAAACCAATAGCCTAAAGGTTATTTCATTAAATAGAAAAACTCCAATTGGTCCCAGCACTCTCAATAAGATCTCTAAAGACTTACTTTAAAAGTTATTTTAAAGCTTGTAACTGCCTTCAAATGTGTATGAAGTTTCATTAGTAGGTACCCTGTAAGTATTTACACAAGTTATGATGATATTGAGTTCTTCACGAGCACGGTCTTGATGGCGCGGAGTTATTTGTCTACTGGATTGGATATATGAACTGAATGGTATGACAATAATTAGTTGTTTAGTTCAGTTGTATATCAGTAAAATTTTAGCTCAATACATTGGATAATTAATGAGATGACCGTGGTAACCCGACCCAGTTTAGGTGGTTACGAAAAGGCGAAAACGCAGCACACCTACAACTACACCTACACCTTACAATTTCACTACAGACGCGTACGCTGATACATTAATAATATAATAATATCTGTATAATTATCTATAAGATTCAAATAATCATTTTCGACTACATTTGACCTGGGTAACGCACACGCCAAATGATACGGTCGGGTACATAATGATTTTTTTTATTGAAATGAAAAAATATGTTTCCTTTCCTTTGATCTGTAGATTAATCCTGTGATCATTAAGAACAAAGATTATTTTAAAATCATTGATATCAACCAAAACCAAATGTCGTGGTGGCCCGGAGGTTTAAGACGCCCAATTCTCATGCATGAGGGTGCGGGTTCGAAACCTACCAACGGCAAGTACCTATGTGACTTTTTCCGAGTTATATGTACTTTCTGAGATTATTTAGACACCACTGACAAACGGTGAAGGGAAAACATCGTGAGGAAACCTGAACTTATAATTTCTAATTATAAGTTTGAAATCGCCAACCCGCATTGAGCAAGCGTGGTGATTAATGCTCTAACCTTCTCCGTGTGAGAAGAGGCTTTGCTCAGCAGTGGGCATTTATAGGCTGTTGATGATGATATCAACCAAATATGTATATGGATTTAATAGACTTTGGAGTATGCAACAAAATGCATTTGGACCACTGTACCCACAAACTAAAGTTATTTTGAGTAAAGAAACATTTTGGGTATATTTTTCATTTTAATAAAATAAAAATATTCATATTCGTGTTCCTCTTGGGAGATGATAATACAACAAACTTCCTAGCAAACTAGCCCCGAGGTCCGAAGGTGGCTAGTTTCTGAGATATTCAGATTTTTGGTTTTGTTTAAAGACCCGAACTAACTACAAATACATCAATAAACTTCAATAAGACACTTGGTTTAATTTAAGGCGTTTTAGTTTTTATCAGTGGCAGTTGTTACATCAATAAACATTTATTACTATTAATACTGGCAGAAATATCATTCATTTTCCACTGACACGGAGCTGGGCGGAGAGGAGCTTAGCGGAGCACAAATTGACCAATGAGTATGCTTGAAATCTCCGCTCCGCTTCAATGGAAACAATACGAGCGGGGTGGAGCACAGCTGAGCGGATGTTCATACATCGAGGCGGTGCAGTGCGGACGACAGCGAGCATTGGGGCAGAGCGGACGCAAAGGGGCGGCACGGAGCGGTGCGGTGCGTCATCTCACGTGTGAAAAAAGTTGAAAATTCTCCATGCACAGAATAGTACTTTATGTTTATGTTGTCGAATCCAGGATCTATGTTTTCTCTTCGAATCCAAAAAGTCGCAACAGTCAATGCTACTTCATCTGATACGTTATCTTCGTCTTCAAGTAGAGAAAGATATAAAATGATTGCTTTTTTCTTTTTAAGCGACAGCATGACGTATGGTTTTTCCGAGAGATTGAATGTAATTAAGTGCAAAAATGCGCGATTCCAAAAGTATGCTCTACTCCGCTCACTGACCACTCACCGCTCTTCATCGCTCCTCTCCGCCCAGCTCCGCTTCAGTGGAAACACTGACCACTTTTCACCGCTCTTCTCCGCCCAGCTCCGCGTCTTCCGCTCGCGGAAACGCGGCCTAAACTAGCTAGTAAATTCTTATCAAATCTTGTTTTAGTCTATACGCCGAACACCTTGTATTGTTACAAATATTCGTTCTAGATCTTGTTTAAAAAATACGTAATTTTCGGTTAGGTGTGAATTAAAGAACAACATATTACCATATTTTTTATAACAATTTAAAAATAATTAGCCATGGCTACACCTATGTAATGTAGATCGAGTAAAATATGTATTGCCCGGACGGCAGGTGACTTTCGAGCCGGAGACGAGGCCGGGCGTGTCCAATCTTGTATCCATCCACTGCTTGGCTGAGGACAAGCTGCCCGAGGAGGTGGTACAGGAAGCCGAGGGACTGTCCACCGCGCAATACAAGCGCGTCGTGGCCGCCGCCCTGCAGCGCGCGCTGGCACCCGTGCGCGCGCGGGCCGCCGAGCTGCGCGCGCGCCCCGCCTACCTGCGCGACGTGCTGCGCCACGGCGCCGCGCGCGCCCGCGTGCGAGCCGACGCCGTGTACGAGCGCGCCGCGGCGCTGGCCGGACTGCGCTAGCTATAGCAGCGGCGGCGGCAGGGCGCGCCGCGGCGCTGGCCGGACTGCGCTAGCTATAGCAGCGGCGGCGGCAGGGCGCGCTCGCGCAGCGCTGGCCGGACTGCGCTAGCTATAGCAGCGGCGGCGGCAGGGCGCGCCGCGGCGCTGGCCGGACTGCGCTAGCTATAGCAGCGGCGGCGGCAGGGCGCGCTCGCGCAGCGCTGGCCGGACTGCGCTAGCTATAGCAGCGGCGGCGGCAGGGCGCGCCGCGGCGCTGGCCGGACTGCGCTAGCTATAGCAGCGGCGGCGGCAGGGCGCGCCGCGGCGCTGGCCGGACTGCGCTAGCTATAGCAGCGGCGGCGGCAGGGCGCGCTCGCGCAGCGCTGGCCGGACTGCGCTAGCTATAGCAGCGGCGGCGGCAGGGCGCGCCGCGGCGCTGGCCGGACTGCGCTAGCTATAGCAGCGGCGGCGGCAGGGCGCGCTCGCGCAGCAGGGCGAGCAGGTCGCGCAGCAGGTCCACGGCCTGCGCCACGGCCTCCGCCTGCTTCTCCGCGGCCAGCGCGCTGCGCATGGCGGCCTCGGCCAGCAGCTCCTCGGTGGCGAGGCGCGCGGCGGGCGCGGAGCAGTCGCTGGCGTCGTCGTCCAGCGCGGGCTTGCGCTCGTCGTCCGACTGGCTGGCGCGCCGCGTGCCGCCCGCCGCTGTACATTACGCGCCGAGTTAGTGATCGCCCGGACTTAGCGTTTACTTTTCGATTTTATAGAATGATTTATTTTCATTGTTAGTGAGATAGATAAAAATAATCCGATGTTATGCAGAGTTTTTATGTGATTGCATAATTGTATTCGCTATTATTAATTCGACGTATAGTTGATGTTTCCTTATCTCAGAGCACCTAGTGCGAGTTTATATTACGTTAACGCAATGGACATGTTCATGACGCCCGGCGCTCTGATCCACCTACTCCAGGTGAACCGACCAATCATATGACTACACGCGGTAACGTGTCCATCGTGTAAACGTAAAACAAACTATCACTAGGCCCTCGGTGCCGCCCTCGGACCAGTGCCTATATGTGCAGTTGCGCACACACGGATTGTCGCTGGAAGCATACAAAGTTATGGGCATTGGGCAAGTCTATTTAGAATCAGTAAGCTTAAGGTCTGAAAATGGACTTAATTAACGCGAGTACCAAGTGTTTTTTCACAACCAATAAAGAATCTTACGTAACTACGTATGTACGTACGATTTTACGATTTTTCATATCGGTCCGGTAGTTTCGGAGCCTATTCAATTAAACCCAAACAAAAAATTAAATAAATATTGCTAATAAGCACGTCTGTTCACTTCGAACGGCAAATGCGCAAAAAGGTAAACGATATTAGTAACGTCCAGACATCGAGCAGAAATCCAAAGTTACCAATTATTTGAGTGTGCATTACCCAGGCCAGATGTTGTCGAAAATGGTAATTTGAATCTTATAGGTAATTAGTTGAGCGGCTTCTGTAATTGTTGGGCACATTTTTAAATTTATTTATGGTTATAGTTTTTTAATTATTTCACAAAAACATTTACTGCTGGGGTAACGTTACCCCAGCCAGACCTTTTTCTTTCTTATGGGAATATTTAATTAATTAGTAGCTAGTTAGTAGATTCCAGATTTGACAATAGCTACTGTCATTTTGTGAAATAATGATACCACATATAATAGTGTAGTGATGCACACAAAAATCGATAAACAATCAGTGTGTGTGTTTTATAATAAATGTTACAGAAAGTGACAGGATAGCGATAGCGATGACGGCGACAATTTATAAAATAACTTATTACCATAATACATCTATCTGTTTTATTTGACATGTTCCTTCATGATTACATTTTTTTATTTATTTCACACACAATTATAAAAGAAACGTCTCAGATCGTTAATTAATCGTCAAAACTAAATTATCGGTTCAGAAATATTTAATTTCCTGATATACTTAGTTCACGAGAGTACAATTATAATTATTATAAACAAGAAGAATCGATCCAGAAATATTGCATTTCCATATCGAATAATTTCGCAACGTCACTATTTAGTACTTGTCATAACGTTGCCACACTGAAATTGTCAAATCTGGAATCGAATTAAAATTCCGAGTATAGATGAAGTAAATGTTGTGCCTTGTTTTCAAATAACTTCGCAACCGATGAAAGAACAAATACAAATTAAATATTCCTATTAGAAAGAAAAAGGTCTGGCTAGGGTAACGTTACCCCAGAAGGAAATGTTTTTGTGAAAAAATTAAAAATATAAGTGCAACAAATTTAAAAATGTGCGCAACAATTACAGAACTGCCAAACTAATTATCTATAAGATTCAATTGACCATTTTCGATAACACCTGGCCTGTGTAACGCACACGAAATCGCCGTCGCCGATCACATCCCTGAGGACACAGTGGTGCTCGGAGGGGTTGCCCCCACCATGTCCTCAGGGCGGTCCCCGCGGTGATGACATCCGGGCGTTTCCTCCCGCGCTATCAGACAGCTACCTCCCGGAGCTCCCATGTCCGGTTAGCACCTGCGTCAGGCGGTAGGTGAGCACGCCATAGCGTCTCAAGCTAATCCTCGAAAGGGAACTTACCACTGCAATGACAGTGAGCCCAAGCAATCACAGCTACTGCTATAAGTTGTTATATGACGAAATGCATGGAAGTAAATTTGCTTTTTTAAAACTTTACAAATACATTTATGGACAAAATTTATTGTACTCACATTCGCGACCACTGCTGTTGAATATATTCTGTAAGCGTTCCTCTGCACTGGAGAGATCTCCCAGTGCCCCGCCTGCAGCTGACTTCTTACGGGCTTTGTATTTTATGTCAGCCCAGTACTGTAACCAAATATCGCATAGATAATGAGTTTTCTGATAATCTTCTACTGCAATGCTGCCTATAGTATATGGCGTCAATGCGTGTGAATATCGTCGCAGACAGTCAGTTGAGCAGTTGCTCCCGCATTAACTACTTACTCATCTGGTGTTGTGCTATTGGAGTTGACTTGAGAAGTTTCCAAGCATAAATCATGGAAACTAAATAATCAATTTTCATGGCCTTTTCACCTTGACTGAATCAAGGTCTAAAAAGGAAATAACAAACAAGCTGTTGCCTGAGGCTATGCTCGCATAGAAGTTGGTTATACAATAAAATTTGAAACTTTCAATCCCTTTTTCATCCCCTAAACATAGTGAGAATGAGAACGCCCTCCACGGCTGCACTCTGCTTAGCTCAGCGAGGTTCCGTCACTGTAGCTGCATCACTAAGTAGTTGAAGCAAGTAAAATTTCCAAAATCCCTGAACTATATTAATTTGCTTTAAATCAGTAGCATAAATACAAAGTTTAAAGTTCCTCAAATCAAAAATATAACCCATCCCATATAAAAAGTCAAGTCCTGCAGTAAATGGAAATGGCCTGATGAATTTTTACAACTGACTAGTCTACAGGTGGCTCAGTGTTGGTTCTTATGGGACATGGTAACTTAATTTTACAAAATATGAGTAAAGATAAGATTTACAATAAGTAAAAATAAAGTGATTGTCTGACCCGGCACCACTTGTCGGGCGACTTGCGTGCTCCACCGCTGTCAACGGCTGCCGCGTTCAAACGTTCTGCCAGAAGACGCCACAACTTGCTGGAGCTGAACCGAGAGTAAATTGATTGTTTGCCGGCAGCAAAGGCAGGGTGCTCTTCCATAAACGATAGCAATAAATCTAGTTGTTCTGAACTCACTCTAGAAAACGAGCTTTTACATCTAGTTAATTCAGCACTCATGTCTGTCACACATTTCTGCAACTTTTATATATGTCACTAATAATCCAGCATTCACATCACCCAGCTATGAAATTATTTAAGAATTATAATGATTGTTCAATACATAACAATTCAATACTCATTTTTATTTGATACGAGCTTTATGATTAAGTTTTGTTCACCTTACATTACACCATTTACTCATGTTATGGTTTTAGACCATAATAACATGTATTTCAACAAAATGTGAATGAAAACCCCACACACGTCACACAAATAATAATATTCTTCAATAATGTTAAGTTAAAGCCACCATCGCACTGACCAGTAGGTAACAGAATTACCCCTATACTTATTATACTCTTTGAACAGAATTTATAAGTACTTAGGTTATCTGTGCATTGCTTCAACAAGAACTCAAAATGACAGCATCTAAATAAAAACAAATGTCAGTGTCACAATGCTGCCGGAAATCTATAGACCAAGATCCGTGTGTCGTGTCGTGCCAGAAGTTTATCGGTTTCACCGTTTCATACATTTATTGTACTATAAAGACGTTGAAAAAAAGGCGGACACCGCCTCTTGAAACAAAAACTGTGGCGCCTGGCTACTATAGATTTAATTAGATTTACACGCAGAACATACACAGATTGATACGAAGAAATACGCTAAACTATATTTTTTGCGCAAATCGTGTCAATCAAACAATCATGAACAATGCAAAACTACCTTTCCTAGATTTTTTAGTGCCACAGTTGACTAAGTTGAAATGCCGCTGCCGCTGAACCTCAAGCGGCGAAAGATTTATTCTTTTTAGCTGGATTGGCAATTATGCTTTCGAATCGGTTGGGGTTGAAACTTCAGGGCCGTGGGGTCCAAGTGCACATCTTTTTTATTTAGATATTATAAAGAGGATGGTTGACACTCAGGTGATCGAAAGGCTGGCTACTACCTTGGTCAAAGATTGCAGCAAGTATTGCCATTCAATGTGCGAAAAACACACATGCGCAATTTATAGCTGAAACGGGGCCAGACTAAGGTCGGCATTAGAAATATAGAACATTTTTAGGTACCTACAGAGAGATACGCGTGTTTTTGAGAAAAAAACAAAATAAAAAAATATATATATATACTGCTAAACGAATACTTATGTACTAATACTTATGTACTAGTACTAATGCATAAATACTACAATATATTATAAAAAAGTAAAAACTAAAAAGGAAAAAAATAACTATTATTGATCATATGTACCTACTTACACACCCACTGATAGGTTAGAAGACGGTGCCACAAGTTTTAAACAAAATTAATCATTAAAACCGTAATAGATACCGAACATTATTAAGCTGTTTACAATTTTAGTATGGATTATACCAGCTGTGACCATTAACTACTTTAGGTATATTTTGTTATGGGTTTGTTTCATCGACTTCTAACCTATCAGTGGGTGTGTAAGCTATAATTACGTATGATTAATAATAGTTATTTTTTCCTTTTTAGTTTTTACTTTTCGTTTGTCTTTAGTGTTTGTTGTCGGCTTTTTAAACGCAGTTTTTTTATTTTATTTTATACTTTTTAGTTTAGTACTTTGATATATGATTTATATTGTACACAACCCACATGGATGCAAAGTTTTCATCAATACAAATTATTCAAGCTCAATCACCGGGTGGCTACTCTTAACCATTGAGGAGTTCAAGTAATCAAGTATTTATTGAGTTCCCTTAGCTATCATACTACTTTATCATTTGACTTTTAATGACCATCTGCCCCCCATCTAGGTTTAAAGTCCTCATCAATACAAATTATCAAACCTAAACACAACATAGCTACTGGTAACCGTTGAGGAGTTCTCTCAACTATCGTACTACTTCATCATCAGACCCTTATTGACAATTACACCCCACCTAAGTGTAAAGTCCTCCTCAATACAAATTAATCAAACCTAAACACAAGGTAGCTACTGTTAACCGTTGAGGAGTTCCCTCGACTGGCTCTTGGCTCCATTATCAGATCGACTCCAGATCTTTACCAGATTTTAGTGGTTTTTAATACTTAATGAAAAAAATACAAATGCACTAGTCGCCTCTATAATTTTTAAAAGTTCCCCTCGGTTTCCCTGGTCTTCCATCATCAGATCCTGATTTTCTTATCATGGGACAATTCTGGGACTATCTCCTTCCCAACAAAAAAAAATTATCAAAATCTGTTCATAAATAACGAAGATATCGGCGAACAAACATAAAAAAGCATATATATATACGGTCGAATTGAGAACACCTTCTTTTTTTTGAAGTCGGTTAAAAAATAAAAACGTTGTCAAAAAAATTTCCTCAATTGTTTTGAGTCTGCCAATGCCAATGTAAAAGTATGATGTTGTTGGTGAATGTATAAACCCATATTTTAATAAAATTTATTGTACAACACTCAATAATTACCTATCCTTAAATAAATGCTGACCAGTTAGTAGGTATTAGGTATGCTTGAGGTCTTGGGGTATGCATGTTATTTTTGTAGGTATTGCAGGTCCTTTTAGTTCTTTTGTCATTGTCTTACCCTTGGTATGACGTGGACGTCGGTTCCGATAGCCTTCCAATAGGCTTCAAGCCCGCCACGACACACGTGTTGCGGCCAATACATTTCCGTTCCGTCATAACCATGGAAACGAATTATAAAAAACATTGGGCTTTGTTATGGCTGTTCCTTGTTGAGATCAATTTAGATTTACTTGGAGTATTTGTGGTACATATTGTTTAAACTTATTGAAGCAATTTAACTGAAATTGGTTTTCTTAACAACTTGTGTAAACCTTTTAATATTAGCCATTTTTGTTTAATGCAACAAATGTTGTTGCTTGTGTTGTGTCCAAATGAAAACCAAGGTACCACCAATTAATGGTAGGTAGGCACTTAAGTAAATGGTTTATTAACCATTTACTTGTTAATAAACCATTGTGACAACCTTATGGTTGGCCTCATCAATGTTGTGTTGTGATATATTTTATTAACATTTTTTTATTAAATTAATTTATGTTTACCACAACAAAATTTTGTACTTATTGATATTTCACTTCACGTCTCCAGCCACCATGCAAGAATGCAGAGCTTAACGATGTGGAGCAATGGTTATCGCATGAGGCACAGAGCTTTAAATATTAGCTACATATTTAATAAATGAATTGAACCTACTCATATGGTAAACTACGTCGTACACGACCAATTAGAACATTAAAAATAAACTTGGTGAAAATGGTGGGTCTTGTTAAATACAATATTATGTAGAGGTGGCCTCGACATCATGAACCGGTATGTGGTGCTGCAACAGCTCGGCGACGGCACGTACGGATCAGTGGTGCTGGCTCAGCGGCGCGACACTGGCGAGAAAGTGGCCATTAAGCGTATGAAGCGCAAATACTATTCGTGGGATGAGGCGATGAATCTGCGCGAGGTTAAATCTCTTAAGAAACTGAACCACGCCAATATCGTCAAGTTGCGGGAAGTCATACGCGAGAATGATACGCTTTACTTTGTGTTCGAGTACATGCGAGGAAACTTGTACCAACTGATACGCGATGCGGAGCGGGCTTTTCCCGAGCCAGTGCTGAGGAACATCGTGTACCAGGTATTGCAGGGCCTAGCACATATGCATCGACATGGCTTCTTCCACCGGGATCTAAAACCGGAAAACCTCCTATGTGCTGGGCCCGAACTGGTCAAGATAGCCGATCTAGGGTTGGCTCGCGAAGTTCGTTCGCGGCCACCTTACACAGACTACGTGTCTACACGGTGGTATCGGGCGCCGGAAGTGTTGCTGCACGATACCCGTTATGGAGCGCCTATCGATTTATGGGCACTCGGCTGCATTATGGCAGAACTGTATACTTGTCGGCCGCTGTTTCCGGGGAATTCTGAGATTGATCAGTTGCATAAAATATGCGCTGTGTTGGGGACTCCTGACCGAGACGATTGGCCCGAGGGATACGTGCTCGCTGATGCCCTTCGGTTTCGTTTCCCGTCCAGTGCAGGTGTCCCATTAGCTCGAGTGGTGCCCTCTGCCTCGCCGCCTGCTTTGGCGTTGTTGACTTCGTTCATGCGCTATGCTCCACGGGATCGACCTACTGCCCCACAAGCACTCCGGTTGGTATTTGAATAATCTTGTACATGTATACAGTTATGCAGTAACAATTAAAAGTATTCCGAATGCAGATGCTTAATCATTTCGTCATTACCTGTAGGTTCCCGTACTTTGCCGTTGGCGCTGCGTTAGTTGTGCCGCCACCTGCGTCCCGCGCTAGGAGGTATGTTTATCTTTCTTAACTTGATAAGTTACAAGCATCATCATCATCAATATAATAACATAACATCACGCCTTTTATCCCCGAAGTGGTAGGCAGAGGTGCACACAGAAGTAACACCCACTATTCACTATTTATGTTATGAGTCCCATGTAATAGGGGGTGAGCCTATTGCCATATACCGGGCAAATTTCCAGACTCCGTGCTAATACTGAGTTTTTTTTTAAAAACCCAGTAATTCTTTGCCCGACCCGGGAATCGAACCCGAGACCTCTTGCCCGGCAGTCGCACTTGCGACCACTCGGCCATCGACACAGTCTCACACCGAGAAGGTTTGAGCAAATCACCACGCTTGCTCAATGCGGGTTGGCGATTACAAACTTATAATCAGAAATTATAAGCCCAGGTTTCCTCATGATGTTTTCCTTCACCGTTTGTACACGCTAGGATATTCTCCTATATCGTGGGTGCGTTTACAAACATACAAGTTCACATACACATGACACCCAGACCCGGAACAACAAACTGTGGATCACACAAAGAGTTGTTTCGTGCGGGAATGGAACCCGCGACACGTTGCGCGGCAGGCGGTTGTCCAGCCACCGCGCACCGCGCCAACTGTGCAGTATCCTTGGTCAGCTCTTACGACACCGGCGAGTTGTGACAAATGTATTGCAGGTAGATACTCTGCCGTCATCACGCGGCTAATCTTCATAAATTGACGCAGGAGCGCAGCTAGAGGTGAAACGGAAAATTTAGCAGAGCACGCCAGGTCACCTACAACAACAGCGCCTCTCCATGCAGCTATCCAGCCGCCGCCACCTCATTTGCGTGATCGATTCGCGGACATCCTCGGGTAATTGGTTACATTTTATAGGTGCTTCAATCATTCAAGGAACAACAAAGTGTAATTCAAACAATAAGTGCTATAGAAGTGCATTTAAAATTGACATTTTGGCTCGTAACGGACATCATATACGTAATAATGAAAACTTTGCAACATCGATAGCCAATAAAAACGGTCTATGCGTTTTCATTGTTTCTAGCAAGATACAGGATATTTTAGTAGTTAGGTATTCTGTATGACACTGAGGCCGTGCGCAGGGGAGAAGTGGTGCACGAGGCCGGCGCGCCGGCGCCGCTGCGGCGCGTGTCGGGCGGGCGCAGCGTGCTGGCCGCGGCCGCGCCGGCGCCGCGCGCGCGCCCCGCGCTCGGCGGCGCGGCCGCCGCCTACCTGACTGCAGCGCGCTACGTCACCGGCTCCAGAATTGACACTTCACTTTTTCGGGCATTACCCTTACGAGCTCATCGAGGTACAAACTTTCTTTATTATTCACTTTGATTGAATTTTAGAATAGATACCTAGGTACTTACTTATGTTAAACAATGTTCGAAGCGTAGTTTATACAAGGTGTAATTTTTAAACCGTGACGTTTCTTGGGGTCATGTCACAGAAGTCATAAATGTTCAATGTAAGAAAAGGCCAATATTTCAAAATACAGGTATAATAAATGGTTTAAGTTTGCCGGTATTTCAGAATAAGCGACAGTAATTTAAATGAAATAAACAGAATCGCCCGACGCGTATTACCCTTTCCGTTTTACAAAACAGTGTGTAATAAAAAGCGCTTTTCAGCGTATGATCTTTTCCTGTCCTGGAGCATTACCCTGTTGATAACGAGTTTAAGTGCTACCAACTGTTTTCAGAAACTACGACTGTGGGCAGCGGCGCTGCGAGAGTCGATTGGGCGGCTAAGTATTTACGATAACAAAATACCTAAGTACTACCTACGTAGTCGGCGCGCGGCGTGGTGGCGGAAACCATGGAAGGATGGACGATATGCTAATTGAGTGTACCTACCTATTTAATTAGTTCCCTACTTACTGTTACTGCTGTCTACTGTTGATGTGATTTGTGTGGGTGTGTACTGTTGTCGTTGTTCTTTATCACTACCTCGGCTTAGGTAGCTTAAAACAACAAAAGTAGTATCCACCCTAGCCTATTTTCACCAAACTGTGAACAAGGACCTAAGTAGGTAGGTATCTACCTACATATTATAATTTACCAAATAAATAAAGATTAATTTAATCTGCTATTAATTATGTATTAAAATACTATTAATTTCAATTTGATGCCTTCTTTGTGTAGGAAAAAGTCACATCTCCAGTCATAATTATGTACCTTGTAAAGCTCCAAGGGAGCCACGCGCTCGCGCTACAGCTCAGTAACTCCGCAACACTGGAGCTGAACCTATATTTACTTTTGTCATCAAAAAATCTGCAACGAGTAGGTGCCTTTTCGCGTCCGGGAAATTCCGAACGTATGGTAACACTAATGCCGTACCCAGACCACGCTAACGCGGCGAGGCTCGACTCTTGCGTCTGCGATGAGCGGGAAAAACAATCTTGCGGGTTGAACGGGGGAGGCCACGGTGGCCGGCCGGCGACTAGCGGCCGCGCGCCGTTCATCCCGGACGATTATTTATTCCCGCTCATTACAGACGCACGCAAGAGCAAGACGCGTCGCGCGAGCGTGAGTACGGCGCAAGCCTAGTTGCTTAGTGGATACTACAACTTGACGGTAGCCCGCGAAAATAATCATACGTTTTTAACTCAGTATAATATTAGAGGCGTACGTATGTACAACGTAAAAGGATAATACTCAAATATACATGGAGCAAAACCCTAGAATCGAAATAATCTATGTGTGGCAAGGTAGAGGATAGGTAGGTACGTAGTAGATCTGACGTGAACACGTGACCAGACGTCCCGTTGTGAACGGGACTTTTCATTTATGTAACAGTAGGCAATGACTGGAATGTTTTATAAATACGAGTTGTCCCCGAAATGAACTCCTGGACGTAAGACTGTCCCGTTTTTGGGAAAAATTTAAATAATACATATTTTCAGTGTTAGGTATATAACTCCCTTTGACAAAGGAAAGTGTTAAGAAGGTATTATTAGCCATATTTTTGTGCAGTTAGTCCTATATAGATATTCCCAATTCATTACCTACTTGTTTTCCATCACCCTCACAGAGTAATATCTGCAGGTTCTATTTGAATTTTTTTTGTTGGATACTCAATAAATTATCAACATAACATCACGCCGGATACATACCCCCGAAGGTGTAAGGGAGGTGCACATTTCCAGACTCTCAAGACGAAGAAGACAATAGGCTATCCACTACATAATAAACATCACGCTACGACTAAAATAGGAGCCGATTGAGCAGAGTGGGTGAAGCCGCGCAGGAGTAGCTAGTACCATGATATACGTTAACAGCTGTTAGCCTAGTGTATTTACCCGCGGCACCGCCCGTTCGCGTGTGTGGCAATACGGGCAACGGAGCATGGTTTCTGTAGGGTTTGAAAGAACCGTAACCAAGCCTTACCTTGGGTACTCTTGACTTCAATTATCTTCACAGTCCGGACTGCAAACTTTCCTTCTAAGTTAATACTCAGCTGACAGCAACATTATTAATATTCATCCGTAACATGGTAAATGGTAGTGTGGGTAAGTATTAGATAGGTACATTTTGATAGGAGTCAAAATGTTTTTTAAATGACAATCTGTCTGTCTTTTCACCATCATAATAGTCCCCTAAAAATTGCTAAGATAATTCCCTTTTGTCATATGTTGAAGAAATATGCATTGCTTACCATGCTCGCTCAAGGTGCATTGATTTTTAAATTAACAATTTGAGATTTTCAATCCAGTAGGTTTCCTGATTATATTCTTCATCATCATAATATGTCAGTGGTATCTTATTAATCTTAGAAAACACATTGGCTTAACTTGGAAAAGTCACATTGGTACCTATCAGGTTTAGAATCGGCACCCTAATGCATGAGAATCGGGTTCTCATGCTTCTCAGGCAGGTAAGGACTTGCAGTTCAGCAAAAATAGACTTAATCAGGGTGGTATTAGTTCGCTTATTGGAGATAATTCCAGAGCAAGCAATCAAAAGTTGGTCACATAGCATACAGGAAGTATTTCTCGGTTCAAGTAATTGAAACATCAGGACAACATCATACTATATTATAATAATATTATTTACACATTTCATATAAAATTTGACAGTGATCAACAAAGAACATATTAGGCATGAGCCAGGTCCAAGGGAGAGGATATAATTATGTACACAGTGGCATGTCACTCATACTTGAGGTAGGGCTTGTCGAGCGGAGGCGCGGGCGGTGCGGGGGCAGTTTGAGGGGGCCACGCGTCTCCGGCCCAGTTAAACACGCGCCCTCCGCCCTCCACTAACCCCCAGCCCAAAAGCTGTGAGCCGCGCGCGCCTCGCTCCCGTTTAGGTGACGCCGTCGAGATGTTAACTGATACGCCTTTAATAATGTGGTCTTGGCCACATAGTGACTGGGCCACTTCAGGCTCCAGGAACGTGACAAAGCTGAAAGCACGGAATGGTCGCGGCACAAACACATCTGTGACCTGGCCAAACGTACCAAAGTACTCGCGCAAGTCTTCCGCTGTCAGGCTTTCGGTGCAGCGGCCCACAAATACCTTCCGGTGGGCACTGGCTCCTCCGTCCTTGCCGTTGGGGATACGCACGTCACACCAGCGTCCATCAATCATGTGGCGTCGCCCCAGGGCTCGCAACTGTGATTCGTACTCGGCGAACTTGATAAAACCGAAACCCTTGGATAACCCTGTCTTGGCGTCGCGTTTCACTTGAACCATGAGAAGTTCGCCAAACGCAGCGAAGTAGTCACGTACAGCATCTTCACCTGTCTTCCAGGGTAAACCAAGTACGATAAGGTCAGAGCAACGAGGCCGTGGAGTAGGCTCGGGCGAGGCGCGAGGAAAGGCGCACCAGTAACGGTGCGCTCCCCAGCCTTCGGCCGGCGGCGACAAGCGTTCATCAACGAGACGCAAGCCACGCAGTCTGCCCGCTGCACGGTACTTGAGTCCGCTGGCACCGGCAAATTGTGCTGCTACGGTGCTAAGCAGCAAAGAGCCGTCTTCCTCAGTTGGTAGTTCAATGGGTTCGTCCTGCTCCCCCTCACTCACCGGTACGTACTCTATCGACATTTCGCTCACCGACCGATGCCGTCTGTAGCACTCATGTCGTTTACATTATAGTTTATCAACTTTGTAGATATAATTGCGAGAACATCTGATTTCTGAAATCGATGACACAACAAGATACTATTTTGCCTGCAAAATTCACCGTGTTTCTCTTAGCGTATGTGATAAACGTGACGTATGACGTGACGTTTTATGTCAAAAATGTTGCAAGGCTATTTTTAATTTGTACGTTTCGGATACACTATTTAGAGTTTGAAAAGATAATTATAATAAAATGATTGCAAAATTACATGGCTGTTATGAGTTCCATATGACTGTGGTGAGAAAAATCACGAATTCAAGTTAATGGAATATATTTTATTCTTGGACTAGATTCAGCACACGGCTTTGTTCGCGTTCTTTTAAAGTAAAGGGATTGCGCAATTTTTTGTCCGCATACAATTTTTTAGCTTTCTTCCTTAAAAAATGAGAAATGCTCCATAAAAACTTCCACCCACAGATATACAAGGAGAAGCAGACCAAACATTATCTAAAATTAATTGTGAGGCCAAAAACACACATGCGCAAAATAGCTTAAACGGGACCGGACTAAGATCGACATCCTTATCCTTACTAATATTATCAATGGGGAAAGTGAGTTTGTTTGTTTGTTTGTTCTGCGTTTACGCCGTAACTACTAAACCGATTGCTTTGAAATTTTGCAGACGTAAAGTTAGAAATCCAGATTAAAACTTTTTATCCCGTAAACGTAAAGTAAAGTCCCGCAAACGTAAAGTTTGAAGTCCAGATTAAAACATAAGGTACTTTTTATCCCGGTAAAATGTGATATTCCCGAGGGAAAACAAATATTAGTATAGATGGCGCTGTGTGTATTCGTATAGATGGCGCTGTATGCCATTAAAACAATTCAACGAATTACCTACTAATTGGAAATTTCACGCTTTAATCTATAGTGCTTATTTGGTGTTCATCTACACTTATTCGGTGCACTTTTCGACTCACTTATTTGCTGTTTTATAATGTAAAAATACTTGAAAAACACAACGTGGTAACGTTGTGTAGTAGTAACGCTACTTGGCGATAGATGGCGCTGAGGGTTTATAAAACGGGGTAGCGTTGGGTTTTTTTAGTATTTTTCGCTTTTAAATTCACCACATTCACACAAATGGTCCCTACCATTTTACATTGAATTGTGAATTTTATAGATTTTAAGGTGTTAAAGGTACACGAGATTGGTGTCTATGTAGTAGTTACGCTACTTAGCGATAGATGGCGCTAAGTGAGTATAAAATGCTTTGGTCTCGCGACCCACCCTGCACTTTTCGGCTTTGACAGGACCTCCGCGTAGGAGGGCACTTCTGCCCTCATCTCGGAGACCTGTCTTCCGATCTCCCGGGTTGCCGACTTGAGCCATCGCATTTCTGCAAGGATCTCTGTGCTCTGGCCGTTGTGCCCCTTGACGACAGGCACTGTGACCACACTCCGCTGATCAATTAAGGCTGCCTTAAGCTCCCCAATTTGCGCAGTGGCTGCTTTGAGCAGCTCGCTGTGCTCCGCCATTTTTGTTACAAGCACGTCCTGTTTCCCGCCAATATTTGCTGGTGTTCGGACTCTTTTACTAGTTGGTAGAGGCGCTCGATGGCTCGATGGATAGTGTCCGGTTTTCGAATGTTCGAGTTGGCTGAGGGGAATTCGGAGAGGGTGCGCGCCCAGAAGACCTACGATCTCGCGGTTTGGTGGGGGCCAGGTTGCGCTGGACACAATTCGGCGAGACCGGACCGCGCTGTTTGTTTTCTGGCGTCTTTCCGGTGTCGGGAAACAGACACCGGATCGCATTGGGAGGAGCTGGCGACTCGGGAGTGGTGTCGCACATGTTAGCAGGGGAAGAGAGCAGGGTAAAAGGAGCACCTGGCTCTATAATTATGCTGTATCCCTGTAAAGAGGGGATACAGATGTCAGAATATGATATTTTCCCTGTAAAGAGGGGACTGTCTATGATAAAATTAATAGCAACAAATAATTGGCCCTGTAAAGGGGGGATCAAGATTATAATATTATAGTCAAATTATAAATAAACTAGCTTTTACCCGCGGCTTCGCTCGCGTCACAAAAAGATAGAACGTAGCCTATGTGACTACCCATCCCTTCAACTACCTTCAGTTGAAAAATCACGTTAAGTACCTCCGTTTTGCCGTTTAAGACAGGCAAACAAACAAACAGCTGTTCGCTTGCGTGGAATTCGGTTATAACGCGCGTTTTAGATTTTTCCGTGGGAATGAGAAGTTCTGCCGCGGTAAAGCCTTGCTTTTCCAGGACTCAAACTACCTTTATACCAAAATCGATTCAGCCGCGTGAAAGAACAGAAGAAGTTATTTTCGCATTACCACAAATACCTTCTCCCATTTTAATTTAAAAGACTTCTATTTCCTATAAGGGTTATATTTGCAACGCTAAACCAAAACTGAGTGGTAAACTATATTATACGTTTTATTATCGAAAACCTAACTACTTTAGACATCTACTTAGAAATAAACCACTTCACTAATCTAACCTAACTAATATAGCTACTGTATCAATCAACGTAAACAATGAACAAAGCGTCTTAGATTAGAACGACGAAAAAAAAATTACTATAGTACTTTACATTCAAATATCTACCTAGAAAAAATAACACTTGACTAATCAAACCTACAAAGCGAACAAATAATAATCAACATAAGCCCTGGATGCGTACCATAAAATACAGTTGACACGGAAGCTCGGAACCTATACTTTCGCCGGTAACGAAACCATAGCGCCATCTAACTCGATCCTAACGCCATCTATCGAGCGTTGAAACAACAGCGTACAATATATTTGCTAATTGTTGAGTATTGTTGCCACTATGGTTTCGTGTACCTTTAACAATCTAAAATCTATAAAATACGCAACTTAATGTAAAATGGTTGGAACCAAAATTTAAAAGCGAAGAATACTTAAAAAATACAACGCTATTCCGTTTTATAAACACTCAGCGCCATCTATCGCCAAGTAGCGTAACTACCACATAGACACCAATTTCGTGTACCTTTAACAACCTAAAATCTATAAAATACCCAATTCATTGTAAAATGGTAGGAATCAAAATTTAAAACCGACAAAAATACTTAAAAAACGACGTTTCCCCGTTGAATATATAATAATAAACACTCAGCGCCATCTATCGCCAAGTAGCGTAACTACTACATAGTCACCAATTTTGTGTACCTTTAACAACCTAAAATCTATAAAATACGCAATTTAATGTAAAATGGTTAGAACCATAATTTAAAAGCGAAAAATACTTAAAAAATAGCGTAACTACTACATAGACACCAATTTCATGTACCTTTAACAACCTAAAATCTATAAAATACACAATTCAATGTAAAATGGTAGGAACCAAAATTTAAAAGCGATAAAAGTACTTCAAAAGCACAACGCTACCCCGTTTTATAAACACTCAGCGCCATCTATCGCCAAGTAGCGTAACTACTACACAACGTTACCACGTTGTTTTTTAAGTATTTTTACATAAAAAAAGCAAATAAATGAGTCGAAAAGCGCACTGAATAAGTGTAGATTAACACCAAATAAGCGCTATAGATTAAAGCGTGAAATTTCCAATTAGTAGGTAATTCGTTGAATTGTTTTAGATGGCACAAAGCGCCATCTACAGGAATACACACAGCGCCATCTATACTAATATTTTTGTTTTCCCTTGGGAATATCACATTTTTCCGGGATAAAAAGTACCCTATTATTTAATCTGGACTTCTAACTTTACGTCTGCAAAATTTCAAAGCAATCGGTTTAGTAGTTACGGCGTGAAGGTGGAACAAACAAACAAACAAACAAACTCACTTTCAGATTTATAATATTAGTAAGGAAGGAAGTAAGGATTGTCAAATAAATAAATTAGTGATAACGGTAAATAATAATTGGTCAAATAAAATAATTATAATCAGATTGAGTAAATAAGTAAAAAGCAGACTTAGATTAGGAACTACGTCCAAACCAAGTACCGGACAAAGCGGACACAATGAAAAATTTGGTCCTATCCAAATCGTAGACTATAAGTTGCTGAAGCTAAATTAAAATCCTAAAGACGGCGAACGCCCTCTCGTGGCTCATGCCAAACCTGGGAGGGCCTAGCGCGCGATGCCGGCGTTTATATACTCCGGAGCATGGCCCTTTACGGGGCTCCAGTTTGGGCGGACTCCCTGCGCAGGAGGGAGAACGCCACCGCCCTTCGCGTGCCCCAAAGGGCTATCGCACAGCGGGTGGCGCGGGCCTACCGCACAGTAGGCTTTGCGGCGGCATGCGCACTGGTGGGCACTCCCCCTTGGGAGCTCGAAGCGTGGGTGCTCGCCAGAGTGTATGAGTGGACGGCGGAGCGGAGAGCGCGAGGAGAGCGCCTGGCTCATGAGGTCCGGGAAGCAGTGCGGCAGGAGGCCAAGGAGGCCATCGTCCTGCATTGGGCGGACGACCTCGCTGCCGCAGTTTTTGGTCGACGGACGCTGGACGCCATCGGGCCGGTCCTCCAGACCTGGCTCGAGCGGCCGTTCGGCTTTCTCTCCTTCCGTCTGGTGCAGGTGATGACAGGTCATGGTTGTTTTGGGTCGTACCTGCACCGCATCGGGCGGGAGGAGAACCCGTCGTGCCACCATTGTGGTGCGACAGAGGACACGGTGCGGCACACAGTCGAAGAGTGCCCATCGTGGTCCGAGCCGCGCCTGAACCTGGTCGCGGTGGTCGGACAAGACCTCTCAGTCCCCTGCGTAGTACGCGCAATGTTGGGGAGCGAAGAAACATGGGCAGCGGTCGCCTCCTTCTGTGAATGCGTAATATCGCAGAAGGAGGCGGCAGAGCGTGAGCGAGAGGAAGACGCCTTCGCTCCAGCGCTCCGACGACGAAGAGTCGGAAGGAGAAGACGGCAATACAACCACCTTATCCCTCCCGGGAGTGAGTAGCGGGTGCTAGGC